ATATGAAATGTATAATCTAATAAGTATTTTTTACTTATTTTAATAAGATTTCTTTTTTATTAGCATTATGAATCACAGAATCACAGAATGTTAGAGACTGGAAGGGACCTCGAGAGATCATCCATTCCAACCCCCCTGCCGGAGCAGGAACACCTAGATCAGATCCCACAGGAACGCATCCAGGCGGGCTTTGAATGTCTCCAGAGAAGGAGACTCCACACCCTCTCTGGGCAGCCTGTTCCAGTGCTCTGTCACCCTCACCGTGAAGAAGTTTTTTCTCATATTCAAGTGGAACCTCCTATGTTCCAGCTTGAACCCATTGCCCCTTGTCCTATCACTAGATGTCACAGAGAAGAGCCTGGCTCCATCCTCCTGACACTCACCCTTCACGTATTTATAAACATTGATTAGGTCACCCCTCAGTCTCCTCTTTTCCAGGCTAAAGAGACCCAGCTCCCTCAGCCTTTCCTCAGCAGGGAGATGCTCCATTCCCTTCATCATCTTTGTGGCTCTGCGCTGGACTCTCTCCAGCAATATAGGCATGTGGAACAGATACCACTTTCCTCATATAAATGTTACTTAATAGAAGACTTAAAGTTGAATATTTAGTTCTTACTGTAGTACTGTATAATTTGGTGGCAATTTCTCAGAATTACATTGTCACTGTGATGAATTAACTGCAGGAATAGTGAAGAAGTCTACTGCAGGAGTAGAACGGAACTGTTGTTTTGGTTATCAAATACAATTAGGAAAGGCTCCAAAGAATGGTTTTAAATAATTTGAGCAGTCCGTCAAACTAGATTTCTTCAGTTTGCGCTAATGTGATCAATAATTAAAAAACCAGCAGTAATTATCTTTTGCATTTTCAGAAATTGGTAGAACTGCTGGGTTTTGTTTGCAAGGAAATGAGGAGATTCCCCAGGGTGCAATGATTAACAAGCTCTATTATTTTTTTCCCCTGGAAAAAATATGGTGAAATAGTGGAAACTGAGTTTCTAAGAAATACTGTACTCATTTCTACATCTTTGAGTATGGTTGTCTTTAGCAACTGAAGCTGCCAGATGAATTGGTGGCTCCAGCAGAGGTGAACAGTTTCAAGTAAAGTTATATACCATTATCTGATTAAAAGCCCCCCCCTTTCAGGCAAGTTTCAGTCCCTTTGAGAAATTTTGCGGTTATTTTAAAGAGTATTCATTTGTACCTGAAGTAGTAGTTGTGGACTGACTTGTAGAAAATGTAAACGGGGTGGTTGTTGTATCAATATCACATTTAAAGATATTTCTGTTTATTGTTCCGTTGACATCACATGTTGCACTGAAACACCATCCAGTTCCATCTGTGGTGTTGTAGATAAGGTCGCCATAGTTATAGCTGTTCCCTTCATAAATGCAGTGGCATGCTGTAATTCAGAAGAAGTTTATTGTCAGGCATCTATGAAAAGATAATGTCCAGTATTTCATTTTCTTGATAATTCTTAGCTGTCTTACCTTGATCATCAAACTTGCACTGTAAAACTTCTGATGTGCATTCACTGAAATAGAAGACATTAAAAAACTTTTTTTTTTTTTTTATTATGAGGTAATTTAGTAGTCATATTTCTGACAGCTACTAGCATGAAAAGACAGGACACTTGTGTTTATTCCTTGAGTGTTCAGTTCATGTTGGCTTCTTTTTTGCCATTGTTTTCCAAAATCTTTCTTTGTATTAAACCCAAACTTATAAATAGAAGTGAAGCTAAATATTATGCCAAGCTACAGGTAGATGTCTTAAGGAAGACTTTCCTTCTTTCCTCCTTATCCCTTTCCTTGTCCTTGCAATGTTTTTGTACTAAAAAGCAGGCTAAAAAATGAAAGAATCTAAATACTACAACCAGTGTAAGAATTTAATAAAATACTTGTAAGTAGATCTCTATTAACTATCTATACTCCTGGAACAATATTTTTCCTGCCATGGGAATGGGAAATATAGAAAACCTGGTCATAAAGGACTTACTGCTCTTGTTGTATCTTTATGCTGAGGATTTACAACATACTCAGCAACAAATTCAACAGAACTTAAAATTATGTAAGAACTTTTTACTACTAATGTAGTAAGAAAACTGGCATGAGATAGCAAGGCATTATTTTTACAGAGGCAGCATAAACTGGTCCTGTCATGTAACAGGAACATGCAGTTTCCCACTGCTGCTTTGATTGTTTTTCCTTGTACATGATTAGGCTGATATGTTAAGTCTTACCATAAAAGACATTCATCCCGTCTGTATATCTTGCCATCTTCAGTATCATAACAGTCACAGAGACTGACGCACTTCATCTGATCCTCATGAAAATATGGCTTGTCTGGTGGGCAGTTAGGGTAGCAGCCTGGAGGAAGGAAAAGGGCATGTAGAAGATAGAAAAGGTGAGAATGAGATACAGTCAGCAAAAGATTTATTTGTGCAGAATATATTTGCAGGTATTGTTGTTAATAATTTTTATTACTTTTATTTTTTTTTCCATTGATTCTAGGAAGTAATGCAGAGTACTAGGGTCAGCAGAGCCCACCCACAAGGACTAAGTCCTAGAGATGTTTTTAACTCCAATTTCCATACTCTGCCTCCATTCGTGTGGATGCAATAATGTTGAAAGGAATTCAATGCTGCAAATGCAGCTGATGGGGGAAATACATTCCATTAAAGACAATTAAAAAGATAACAAAATATATCCACTCAAAGGTGCTTGCAGCTCTTTTTACCTTCTAAACCTGGAAAGTCATGGAGGCATTTTCCACTTGGGTTCCTACAGGTCTTCATACAGGAAGCGCCACAAGGTTTATAGTGCCAATTGCATTCCCCTTGTTGATTGTAGTAATCGCAGAACAGTGCTAAGGAGAAACAGAAATTTGGACATATTAAAAAAAAAAAAGAGGTTTGTTTGACTCATGTCTGTTCATCATATCCCTGCAATGCTGCTTGAACAGTCTTGAAAAGCATGAGTAAATAGGTGAAATTGTGTGACCATCAAAACAGCTTAGTGAGAGAAGTCTACACCGGGAGATGATAATGTACATACAGAAGATACCCAGGGTGTGTGTTCAAGGACATCAGCAAGGCACTGTCCATTTGACTGCACTCCCAAAAGACATGTTTATGACATAAAACTCACGACAGATTGATGGGGTTCTCCAGGCTATGCAGACACCAACTTCACTGCATGCTTGAGCATAGGCAGCTACTGCTGTACAAAAGCAATCACAGTCTCCTCCAGTGTCACACGCGCAAGCATCTGTCACACATGCTTGGTAATATTTTGCTGGTTCAACCTGTTATTAAAAAGAAATGTAATACTATACATCCTGTCTTCCAAATTCTTTCTTAGCTTTGCTAGAGTAGTTTTCTTAAAACTGAAATATTTCAGAAGAAAGGCCTGCATCAGTAATTTCTTTTTCTTTTGTTCATATATACTGTTAAACGCCAGAGGGGATGCCAGATGATACATCCGAATCATGTATTGACAGATTTTTAGACACTCAGGCTTGTCTCCTTGTGGAAGATTAGATTCATGTTCCCAACTAATATTAGGCAACTGCACTTGAAAATGAAGGTCTCTGCTAAGGGCTAAGGTAATAGGAAGCATTACTCTGCATTGTTTGTGTAGATAAAGGCTGGTACTTCATGGCTATGTTTTTATTTCATTGAGTTTGTGTTCTGTACATGGTATATGAGAATTTTTATTAAGTCACACTACAAGAAAATACATAGTAATTATGAAATTATTATTCTTTCATAATAGGTCAATATTTCCTATGAACTAATTGTCCTTTTATTTGTTATAGGTAGGGACTATAAATGTGTCCCACTAAGCAGGATCCAGATTGAGTTTTTCCTGACAAAATTCAAAGTGAAACATGCTAATGAATGAGGCATGCTTGTTAAAATGTATGAGGTTAGCAGCTTCAATAATACGCAGACCTCATCGTCACACGGTAAGCTTCTGCCCTGGTAATACCTGAGAGTGACAGGCAGCAAAGACGTCACTGTTGATGATGCTGCACTGCTTCTCTGACCAGGACTTTCGATAAGGGTTGGTAGAACATGGGTCCTTTATGTTGTAAGCATCAGGACATGTAGGGGATACTTTCCAGCTGTTTCCAAACTCTAGGACATTCTCTACCACAGACAGACTCCTGGTAGTAAAGTCATTGATGCCATTGCCATCATAATTTCCACAGAGGCCACAGATCTGGCCCTGCAAATGGAAGAAAATAAAATAATAATGGATGTGAGAAAACTTGAAACAACATTTGAGACTGAAAGAATACTTGAAATTCAGCTCTTAGCATTCTGCCATTCCATTCTAACATTCCTGAATATCTTCATCCTTTGTTTCCTCAGCAACAGAATGTGACCACTAAGGCTAGAAGGATACTGCTGTTGACTTTTCTTCTTTTAGATCTGAACAATAAAACCATCTTTGTCATTGCAAGCTTCTGTCTTTGAACTATGTCTTTAACAAGTAAATGAGGACTCAGCCAGCTAAGCTTTTAATTTAAGCCTTGTTTTATACAATAAATGTATATATAAAAAACAGCCTTACAAAGCTGTCATAAATGCTACCAGTTCAGCCACATAGTCTACTTATTGAGTTTTTACTGTTACGACTGCTCACAAGTATAAAAAGAAATGACATTTTCTTTGTGCATCCAGAAATACCTGTCATTCTAAATTTATGGATCTGTAAAACTGTGATAGTCTACAGTAGATGCTATGCTATGCTTTCTCTGTGGATCTAAGGTGCATGCTTCCCATATTACTACTATTTTTATAAAGTGCCAGTGGGTGAGTCAGCAAAAGAGCCTATGATACTGAAATGCATTTGTATACCTAGTTTTAAATTACACTTAATTTATGTACCCAATTGAAATGTTACTGTAGTATACAATAAGATAGCAAATTCCTCATATATTACAGTTTTTAGTACTTATATATCATAAGCTAGGCGGAGGAAAATGACAACAGGAATACATTTTCCTTACCACCTGTGCAGATATATGCTTGAAAAATACATGGTAGCATTTTACAAGAGGCTTTCACTTGTAATTTTTCACTTTCTTATTCTTGAAGTATGATAATTTGATTTGTGTGTCAATGAGAACTGAAAACAATGGATTACTTTCAAGATAAAGACTACTCAATTGATTTCTACACATGTAGCTATGTAAGTTTAATAAGGTATGAAAACCTTTACCAAAGCTCAGTGGATAATTTTAAAGTCAAGTCCAAAAAAAGCAGTTTGCCAACTCAAGTTCTGTCAGGCCAAATAGGCACTGAAAGCTGCCTTCAGAGCTCGGAACAGCAGCAGCATGATGACATGGCTTCCTGAGGCACCAGAGGAATGGAAAACCACATGGGATTTTTTTTAGAGACATCATCTGTTTGGGTTCTTGGCAGGGTCTCAATGAAATTCACACACAGTCCAAATTTGAACTGTAAATTGCCATTTAACTGTTAGTTTCGCACCTTAAAATCAGGGCTGAGCTTGATGAAGATGCTGGTTTTCCTGTTCCACATGAGGATCAGTCCGCTTGTGGTCTCGATTACCAAGTACATACCCATATAGCGGACTGTATATGGCACTTCATCATTTTGTCCTCTCTTTATGACACTGACATGCTCCTCACCAAGTATCAGCTCATAGCCCTGAAACAGGAGGAAAAGGTGGTTAGAAATGAACTCAATAGCTGCAGCTGTGCTCTTAAAGATGTTTTTCTGCTTTTAAGAGTACTACGAATAGTTTACATAATGAAAACAAATGATCCAAATGCAAGAAATCAAAACTACATAGTTCACACTTCAGGTTCCTGGAACTGTGGTAAAAACATATTTAAAATGGTGTAGGTCAAAAAAGGATGTTTTGGTAGACATGGAGGAACTCCTTTGCACAGAATAAAATAATCTTCTGACATGTTAGGCTAAATTTCTGCTAAAGACAATTTTTGTGTAGAGCTGTAGTTTGCCCTAGAGTGGTATAAGAAATGATGAGAAATGGAAAAGATAGAAAGCTGGGAAACTCTGCCAAATATTTTCACTTGAATCTGATTTAAGCTTAATTTACAAGTTGATTTGCTTTTTAAAATGTTTTTACAGCTTCCTTGAAGCCATCTAGGCTTCTCCTAAGGCTTAAACAGATTCAGAACAAAACTGGTTTGCATGCAAACCCTTCTTACCTCTAGGAAAACTTTGATAGATTTTGAGCAAGTTGTTCCAGTGTTGCCACAGGGAATATTTTCAGTGATAACCCTGAAGGTGCCATTGGCTGAGCCACTCTTCCCACAGTGGTCCTGGGTAGAGAATAACATTTAAAAATATATTATTTTTTTGTAGATACAATCAAGGTTACATCTCATTTACTATTGCTAATTATCAGTACCTGGACTAGTGTGTATTCACAGTTTCCATTGAAGCTGAACCTTTTGTCATCAAAGGTGTTGTAATGACCATCTCCATAAACAGCACAAGTGCCCAGACATTGATCTTTGGTGCATTCCCACTTCCTATTCTTGCATACACTAGGAATGAGAATAAAACATTTTAATAACAAAAGAACTCACTTTTTTGGGTAGACATATCCCAACAACACAGTATTTTTTTGGCAGCTCATCCCTGGTAAGTGTTATGTAGATTCTGGAGTTAAAACAGGTTTTTACATTTTTTATGTAAAGAATTATAGCAAAGTTGTGTTCTGCTACTCTGGATTTGTTAACTGCAAAACAGGGTAAGACTTAATTAACACTGTAGTTCCAAAGATTTCATCCCGTTCTGTGCTTTGACCATCTGCCTACATTAGAAGGAAAACCTGCTCATACTTTTAAATCCAAAACTAAAAGATCTGTCAATCAATGAAATGTGCAATGAAAATCTTTCCTCACTGCTGTACTATTTAAGATCTTTGAAAAGGCAAGTGATGAAACCATGAATGTTACTTTCGAGGACATATTTACCAGGTGTTACAGTCAACAGTGATCTTTTCCCCGGGCTGATATGTGGCTTCATTGTGAATACACGGACATTCCTCTTCAGGAATACAACCACCATTCCCATCTAACACGAGCCCAGCTGGGCACACGCAGCCAGATATACATTGTGTGCTATACTGGAAAAGTCAAGAGGAAGATATAATTTCAGAATGAAATAACCACACTGGGAAAAGGAAGATTAAATCTTCATAAAATATCTTTCTACTGTCTTGTTGCTGCCCAGCTTCAATGTGAGAGGACTGCGAAGGACAACAGAACAAAAAGTAAGTTATTAGCCATTGATTTAATAGAATATAAATCTGTTTAAGATAAATGTTTTATGTATACCAGCCCTGAGGGCTCTGCTGGAGTCTGTGAAATTTTAAACACATTAATCTTAAGTCTTGCTTTGTGTTAGCTGAAGAAGCCCTGCACTTTTTAGTGGGTAATTTGTGATTGAATGGAGCTTTAAAAAGAAAATAAGTAGGGGTTTTTTTTCCAGTTTTTTTCTGAAGCCATTTTTTTTAGTTTGGTTGAGTTACATTGAAATCTGTTTATCTCATATGGTACGTATTCATGAAATGGCGTGTGGTTACCATGCACCTAGGTGGAGTAATATAATTAAATGTGCAAGAAGTTCACGATAGCATCAGGGTATGAGAAAGAATGGTTTATTCTTCTATTCAGTTTAAAGCCAGTAATTTTCTCCTAGAGAAGTAAATTGTGTGTCAGAGCCCTAGATATTTTGACTACTAATTACTATTAACTGCAATAGCTGAAGAAAGGTAGACACTAAACTTACAAATTAAATTGGATGTTACTTTATTATATTTTGGTCTAAGGGTCCCATTGTTAATGCTTAATAACATGGTTTTAGGCTTTTGCTACCAGAACAAAGTATCTGAGTTGTAGATTTGGAGTAGGTCAGAGAGATCAATTACATTAGCACCAAGAGCACAGACACAACCTGGAAGCACCATTTCATCCAGCCACGATACACTTACACACTGCATATCCAGAGTCTGGCAACTCTTTTGACATTCTGCTCCAGTTGTTTCTGCAGTGGTGTTTGAACAGTCAAAGTAGACCCTAGGAGATTCACAGGCTAGAGGAAGGAAAGAAATGAGAGCAGTAAGAAATGGCACAGGGTTTATCCCACAGCTGCAGCCATTAAAACCATCTAGAAATTCTTCGGAAATTGTGTATTTCATTTAGTAGGGGTTGCTGTCCCTATTCAATCTGCTAAATAGATTCACTTCAGAGCACTGAATTCCCAGAAAAAAACCCACAGTCTTTCAGAAAAAAACTTTCCTAAAAAGAGATCTTATCATTAATCTAGGTTTACTCTGGCCTTTTATGATAACTGTTGCACTATAACTGAGAAACACTTCTATTATTTAAAAATCCACTCAGAAAAATAAATTCTTTCAACTATTTATGTCCAAAACCTAGCATAAAGAGAAAGATAAGTTGAAGATTTTTTTTTTACCTGAAGTTGGATCGGTTGTTCCAATGCAATGCAGTCTTCCCTGGGTGCAAGTGCTGTTAGAGAGGAAAAAATATGTATTTTTATTTATTGAGACCGAGAGCTACTTCTCTGTTGTCAAGCTTCAGAATTTTCGAAGGAATTCCAGAATACGGTTTTACAGTCTCAGGAAATAATTTCCCTCAATACCACTACCAGTGCTGCTTTCATTTGATATCCATTATAGCTTAACAGGAAAAAACATAGGTTGTAATGAGTATATGTCTCTGCTTCTTGCTTACTTTCTTTTATGCTAGAAAAATAATAGAACAGAAAACACACTTAGATACAATTGCTCTATCAATCTGGAAATATCATAGAATTATGTAGGTTGGAAAAGACTCTTAAGATCGTCAAGTCCAACTGTAAACCTAACACTGTCACATCCACCACTAAACCCTGTCCTTAAGTGTCACATCTACACAGCTTTTCAACACCTCCAGGGATGGCAAGTCAACCACTTCCCTGGGCAGCCTGTTCTAGTGCTTGACAACCCTTTCAGTGAAGAAATTTTTCCTAATATCCAGCCTAAACCTTCCTTGTCACAACTTGACAGGGGGATGAACTTCCTCTCATCCTATCATGTATTATCTGGGAGAAGAGCCCACCCCCTTGGATTAGGGGGCTTCACTCTGTTCCCCATCCCTGCCTTCCAGCTTAGGAGAATGTGTACCATTCTTAAAAGTTGAAAAAAATGAGAGAGTATTGTATTGAAATTCAGGCAAGGCAGGGTGAGACCAGTTTAAATGTCGCAGATTTTAATGAGAAAATACATATACTATTTCCTGAGTGTTATGCAAATGATTCACTTACCATACAATCCCATTTTCATGGACAACTTCTCCAAATGGTATGGGAGATCCTCTGTAGTAGCAGGGGCATTCACTAGGAGGCACACATTTGCCACTCTCATCCATGTAGGTACCATTTACGCAGGTGCAGCCATCAACTGGAACAAACTTAATGTTGCATGTGACATCAGGCTCACTCAGGGACCGACAAGTGGGTTGACAGGAAGAGATGGTATAGCTGTAGCTTAGGGATTCAGGACACATCGTGGTGTATTTTGCTTGAGAGAGGAGAAAAGAATAGGTTTGTTAATTTCAGATGGTAATTTCTGGTGGGGAAAAAAGAAACCATAGGCAATAAAAATAACATGTAAACAGTACTGTACACCTCTGCCTATGTTGTATTTTTCATGTAAATGTATTTCTGAATACTTCCAGAGTTAAACTTGAAAAGCTACTGTACATGTGGAATAAGTGATGTACGCAAAGAAGAAAATATTTTTTTCAAATGGAATGTTAGAAATAAACCTCCATTAGGTGCTGCCATTGCCAAGACTTCTAAAACTTTTGAAATATGAGACAAGATGAATGTCTTTTGTTATGGTGAAAACAGACCTACTGGATTATTGGAACCCAGGCATGCAGCTTCAGAGACCTTTCATTTGAAAGTGTTCTTGTTAGTATTACTAGTACTGTTGTTCTAGTATGTCACATTTTCTCTATAATAACTTGTGATATATAAAGCTGTAGTGAAAGTCAAAGTTGCACAGAAACAGGTGGAGGCACTTCCATAACAGTCTCTTTCCTAAGCAAGCTATGTCTCCTGTCTATTCATACTCACTTTTGCTAGCAATGGATTAATTCTAAGGGAACAGCAGAGAATTACTTCCAGGATTGCATTTAACAAAATCCCTTCCTCAACAACTTACTGTGTTTGTCTAGAAATCAGTATAAAATAATTATCTGATCAGCAGTTTTTATTGACGTGTGTTCTTAGGAGAGGGGATAGTTAAAAGTACTTACAGCAGACATCAGTCCTCCATCCATGCAGCTGGATTCCTTTTGCAGCACAAGCTCGCACATAGGAAGACAGGGCTGCACACAGACAGTCCTCACTATTTTCACAGTTACATGTGTCAAACAAGCAGTTCTAAGAATTCAGAGAAAAATAAAGTCTCAGCACTGGTAGTATGGTAAATTTTTATTTTTTTAAAAATAACATTATCTTTCTGCTCTTAAGCACTAATCCTTCTTCAGATATGCTCACTAATAGAGAACACTAACATAGCTTTATCACTTTGCAGTCTTTGTCTAAGTTCCCTGTCAGGGGAGAAAGAAGGTAGTAGAAATTCAGTTGATATCTGCAGTTATTATTGGGAAATAGTTGTCTTAAAGCCTGTTATACATTTAACAGCTTCATGTACCTCTGACCCATATTTACTAATATGCTGCATGATAGCATACAAAGCTCTGTTCACAGACAGGTCATTTCATCAGTGTCCATACCTGGATGATTCATAGTGAGAAGAAAGATTGGCAATACGTTGATAGCAGAATGACGATAATTAGCTAATGGGCTTTCTGTACCAAGTAGTTATTAATGAGATATGAGGCTGATGAGTGAGACAACAATTCACTGATAAGCATTTGGCATGCCTTCACATACACTTCCTACTATATATGTATATCCAATGAGGAGTAAATAGCCTTTTCATTTGCAAAGAAGTCAAGATCTTGAAGCCAAGACTGACAACTGAAATAAAGTAATGTTACAACACAAACAGAAAGAAATATTGGAAAAGGGAAGTGCTGCAGTACAGAAATGGAAATCCAGGCATCGCATAAGAGAGGAGACATGTCTGGAACAGTCCTTTTCTGGTTGCTTGTTGTAATTATCCTATTTCTATTGTTTCTAAAGGGAAAAACAGTCTAACAGAGTACCGTGTGGTGAACAGAAGGGTTCACTGCATAGTGACAATCAGCAAAAGGTCCTTTGCTGTCAGTTAGTAGTCCACACCAATGCTGAGCATACATTTCTGTGAAGAGAACAAACAATACAAATGCACATTACTCTTTGTGTTCATTAGTCCCAAAAACACACTGCCCTGGTCTCTGAAGCCCATTCTGAAATTACATCGAATCTCTCCTTTTGTCTTTTTTTCACTCAGCTTATGTGCTAAGGTTCCTAAAACCAAAGTGCACTTGCTGAAAGGGATGAATAAAAAATTTCCATTCTCCTGCAACCCACTCCTCTGACACCAAGATGTCAGCTTAGACATCCTCTCCGTTTTCAGTGACCATACAGTTTCCTTCAGTTATGTTTCTATGACTCTTCCTTTACTTCGTTACTTATCCCTAGTGCTTTCATTTTGAATATTTGTTTCTGATTTCAGATGTATGCTTTTACCAAGTATGTAAGTCTTTATTCTCTTATATTTTCTTTCCAATGGATGTATTTTCCTTAGGGATGAGTAAAAAAGAAAACTAGAAAAGATTTTAAGAAGCACCTACCATTATCAATGCTGAGTGCACAAGGGTTCTCAAAACTGGGCTGGATATTAGGGCACGAAGCCTGAGTTCTCCACGTATTAGCAAATGCTGTTGCTGTTCCTTCAATTATTCCACTTATGGCCTTGAAGTCATCTGTTTGGATGTTATTGAAATTTCCACAGAGACCTGTTGAAAAGCAGTGAAAATCTTGTACCACTCATACTGGACAAAAGACATTAAGCAAGATGTTCATTCACTCACCACAGGTCTGGTCTTTGAAAATGGGATCCAGCTGCACAAACACTTGCATGATGGGTATGATTTGGATTTCCAGGTGGATGCCAAAGTTTGTCTGCATGATGATGAAGAATGATGAAGGGCTGAACACAGTGACGTTAGCTACAGACGAAAAACAGAATGATCACTTTCTGAATGAGGTTGAATGCTGGAAACAGTGCATCATTATACTATTACTTTTGAATTTCTGTTGCAATCGTTGAGGTGAAATAAAACCCATCTTTATGAAAATTAATCAGAAATAGAAATCAGAATTTACAGTTCAGAATTTGCTTGTAGCTACCAAGTTGTTTTCTCTATTTGCTGTTTCAACATTAAGCAGTTGGAGATTACTCCTTCCAAGAGAATAAGAAGGAAAAACTGTATGTCAGTGAGCGTTAAAAAGAGTACTTGTGTTTTTGTTTCTAAGCTTGTACAGCATCCATTGGAGCCTTCACTCTGCTGGAGAGGGAAATTAAGCAGATCTGGAGGTCAGAGAGAATGCATAGCATTGTTAGCTATTGAGACAGAGAGCAAAAATCAAACATCGCCCTGGGGAAGCGTGAGCACAGGGGTGGTAAGTAAAAAAAAAAAAAAAGGGAAGAGGTAGATGATGTCTTGTGTGTTCGATTTTGGGCAATGATAAGGAAGTAAACCTTACGGTGATCAGGAGAGTGTAAATGCTGTTTGCTTCTGTTTGAAATCTTGCCTATGCTTGTACTCGCTCCCATTTCTTTATGACACCAAACTTCCCTCTTCTACTTCAGAAACACTTGTCTGACTCAGGAAATATCCCAAAGAGAACTGAAGTGTGAACATGCATTCTGAACAACTCACAGTCCTTTTATCTTCCGTAGTTTAAGAAAATAAGCAGGTGTGAAGTTCTGAACTTATTGCTCACGGACTGTTAAAGAAAAAAATACCTGCTGAAATGGGCAGCTGGGTATAGACCGCGTTCACAGTCACACGACCGTCAGATTTGACCTCGATGATCTGATAAGGAAGAAGAACAAGAGGCAACTGTGTGAAGGATAACTATAGTCCAAAGAGTAATAATGGTGACGACTCCAGTGATATGCATTAAAAAGATATTAAATAAAAAGGTTATCTTTTTTTGATTTCACCTCCCCCCTCTTTCCACTTGGTACACTGTACTGATTTTCCCTGCCGTAAAAGAATTACTTTTAAAGAGCCTTTCTCAGTTCCTGAGGGAATTACATCATCTTGGTTCCTTTGAACACATCTTTGTGATGAATTACATCCCTTACTGTTGTTCGTCTAGTTGCTACCCTAAAAGCTCAGCAGAGAAAATAGCTTTATTTCTGCTTTGTGAGTCCAATGTTTGTCTTAATGAACGTCCACAAAGCCAAATTGATGGATGATCTGATATTCATAACAAAATCAATTTCTTTTCAGTTTATTAAAAGTAACATGTACTGATCACATATGTTGACCATTTGAGAGAGAAATGTAGTTCCTTGGCTGAATAAGGTCTAAGTTCTTTGCTGCCCATATTTTTAGTAGTAATTTCCCGTGCTTATTTTGCATCCTTACAGTTTGTCCTTTATTCACGTTGAGGGTCACTGACTTTAAGCATGTCTCAGTGTCTGTCATGCCACATTTGCGTAGTTCTGCCAGGATGGTGAAGGTTTCATCTTTACAGTCCTGAAAAAAATGCCAACAATCATCTCATGAAGGTCTGTTTACAGAAGCTTTCCCTGTAAAATTGTCTCTCAACTCTGAAAAAATATTTCTATTTCTGGAGAAGAGCCAGACTCTCCCAAATCCCAGGTCTTTTTTGGCCTGAAATTCAGTTTTGCCTTTTGCAGTGATTAGGAAAAGTGCGAGAATTGGACTCTAGTTTTGCATTTTATTGAATATATGCATAATTCATGCCCACTTCTAATGTTTGATTCAATTCTACTGTATCTCTCATCTTGCTGTAGCTGGTATCAATGCTAGACAAAAATTTCTGATAAAGCATTTTTCAAGGTAACAGTAACATAAAACTTTTTTTTTTTCTTTTACTGCATTGTGTGGATAGGGAGGGAAAAAGGAAAGCAAATAACAAACAGAAAAAGCCCCTAAAAGATCAAGACATTTCACTTGCACATTGCTATAATTAAGTATTTTTATTATAATTAATTTAAATTTTTCTGTTCCTTTTTGACTTCTTTTTAAACCCGTAAATGGAATGTATCACTTGAACTGATTTTCTGTACTTTAACTTCCCAGAAATGAAATAAAAATATTAGTCTTATAAATTCAAATTTTTTTTTCAGAACTGTTAGTGTAATTTTTCAGACTTGTAACATTTGGCCCAATAGCGTATAATACAGTAACATGGCAAAAATTATGCAACTCAGTAAGAAAGCTGGATTCATCACACTGAAGAATGTAGACTAAGCAAGTTCTTAAAAATGGCAGTGCTCTTCAGCAATTTCTACATCACAGAACTGGAAATTCTCCATAAACACCGTATACTGATGCATGACATCCTAATAGTTAACTGATGATTGTAATTTGAATGTCAGCATATGTTCTAGTCGGCATATGTTCAAAGTGAGAGGCACGTTAACATCTGTATGTCAAAAGTGTTGATTGAGAACAACTTTTCTTTCTGTAAATGGATAAGGCTTTATGACCAGTAATATCTGATTCCCACCTTAGAAAAGACATAAGTGCAGTCTCCATGGTGATCGTAATACTTTTTATCATATGTAGTAATGTGCGAACCTCCCTCTATTGAACATGTTCCTGGGCATGACGTGTCTTGGCAACTCCACTGGCCTCCATTGCAGGTACTGGGAGAGAGAGAATAAAGTTAGCTAAAGTCAGTAACAGGTCCAGAGTAAAAGGAATTACAGTGAAGTTATGTTCAGCTATGTTGCTACTGTTTCTCCCTTCAAGCTGTAGCGTGACACACAGTAAATCTAGGTTTAAGACTTTGCAAAACGTGATCATATATAAAAAGAATGACTCTGGTATGCATTGTTTTCTGTCTTTGAACAGGTGAACCCTCCAGCAACCAGTATTGGGTGAGTAATTACTTGGTTTTTGCAGCTAACATAAAGCACAATGATAAAATCTCTTCTGTTTTGTTATAGGGATGTATCAGAAACTAACAGAAATGTAATCCCATATCAACTCCTGATAAAGAGCATATCTGTTTTCTAAAGTGATGTGGTAGTGCACAGATACACTACATCCTAACATAAGTTTGAGATCGAGGTCGTACGGTGTCATCCCTTGCTTTCTCCAGAGAAAATAAATATTTGCAAATGCATAAATGACTGCAACTTCATTCCCCTTAGAGAAATCAGAATGAACAAAATAAACAAAGAAGAAGCATTTTAATTGACCGGTGAGAAATCTAAACATTGTAAATCCTTGCTTTGATCACCTTGAGTTAGAGTGCAAAGCCAGTTAAGGCTGTGGCTAAATAAAACAAAGAATGTTCTTTTGGGATATCTTGGAACTGTAGCGGTCAGTTAAATACATATATCAATTACCAATTATGCAAATGTATATAATAAACCATTAAACTCATTAAATATATGAGAGGAAATTGTAAGTTAGAAAAGTAACAAAGGTTACCAGGAATGACACTGCTCTGAAAAAGAAGCTCCTGTAGCGTAGATGTTGCCATTGTAAACACAGGAGCACTGCTGATGGGGAATGCAGCCAGAATTGTTGATGTCATCAAATACAGTCCCTAGAAGTCTTTCCAATAAAACCCTTAATAAAAAAAAAAAAAAAAAAAAAAAAAAAGACAAAACCTTGATCAATTAAAGAGACATTTCCAATTCACCATTTTCTAAATATCGTCTTAGATCTTCAGCTGTCATGAATGGGCATAGCTATGCTGAGGACAGTAGGACTATGGAATTTGCACAGTGAAGGATTCAACCTTTGTATTCTTTAATTCCACCTGCTTTGAAAGAGGGTCCTATTGTAACACAGGTGGCCTGTTGAGGGACTGGTCTTGATCTTGTTTCTGTTCTGCTTTCCTGCTTTCTGAATGTTGCACATGTATTGGCAATTAATTCAGATAACTTTTCTCAGCTGAGCCATGACAAAATCTTGTCACTTGCAGCTGTGAAAAATGCAAATACAGGAGGCTTAAAGCCAATGGAGCCTGCCCAAATCCTAGAGGTAAGCTGTTGTTGTTCTTTGAGATGAGAGATGTGAGTACATAAGAACTTGCCTGGCGGGCAGAAACAACCATCCATACAGTGTTCTTCGCAAAACTGAGATCGTTGATGATCGGTGCATGTGTCAGCACAAGGGGAGCCGCACTCCTGGTACTGCATGTTGTAAGGACAACTCTTAGCTGAAATTTTAAAGGAGGAGATTTTTTTTTTTCAGTCAAAAGTATTTCTAGTTCACTGTATGTGAAATATATTTATATTCATTTAGGTTTTTCAGTTAGGTGTAAAACCATGCAAAACTGCAGATCCATCATCAGCTCTCAAAATTTGCAAGTTTAGTCACCTATATCCATATTTTACAGATGAGATGTTCTTTCCCTGACTGTCTGGTGCTGAACTGGCTCAATGACTGGATTTCTGGGCACAGCAAGGTAATGACCCCACAAAGTCAGCCAGGCCTGTGTTTCTACTGAAGGCACCTTTCTCATGAACACCTGTATTACTAGTGAAATGTAAAACTTAAGTTTCTAAATCTTTAGTATATTTGCATTTTGAAAATATAACTGGAAAGGCAAATAGTACCTTATGGAGGTTTGTTTTGGAGCAAATAGTGTTGACAGTATCAACAGCTACACCCCATAATCTATCATGTGTTTAGTTCAGTGCAAATCTTTATGAAGATTACAGACGTACAAACTCCTCACTACCAAGCAAGATGAGATAAATAAGTGTTTAATCAGCCAAATGCCTGTGAAGATACAGTCAGTTAATAATTCAGAATAAAAAATGCTGTAGCCACCATGAGAAAAGGAGAGAAACAGGAATACAAGCAAGCAAGTATGCCTCACTCTTTCTTCTTCTTTCTCCTTTCTTCCTTTACTGTCCCAGTCAATTAAATAACACTTTGTCTCTCAATCAGAGTATCCATTTAAGTGTTTGATAGCGTTTAATCCAATCTACATTGAAACCCCTAGCTCTTTGGCTGAAGTCTTTATGCTGGAATTTGCACATCAGAACCCTCTGGAGAATACAATCTTGAATGGCCTGTAATTTCTCATGCATTCTCAGCATCATTTGAAAGCTTGTTGTTTGTTAGTTACAGAGCATAAAGTAAGGTTATCTCCAGTGATACTTACGGCACAGTGTTGAGGTTCTCCAGTTCAGAGGATGCCCACCAGCATGAGCACACTGCCGAGAGTATTCAGCAAAGGTGTCACAAATACATGAGGTGTTTTTAGAGTTTTCAGAGTGGCATAAGTCATCTTGGCAAGCTGTAATATACTCCCTAATGTCAACTAGGTCATTACACTCTGCAAATGCAGAGCTGGTCAATGTTTTCTGGCATATGTCATCCTGGGGAGAAAAAAAAAAAAAAAAAACTTCCAGAAAATAGAAAGGAGCAATTTTTTTGGTATTGTTACTATGTATAATTATTCTTTGACAGAGTCTCATATCCCTCTTAAAATTGCTGTTGCTCAAGGACTTCTCCTGTTGACCTGTCTGAAGGTATAGAAAAGTACAGATAAATTTGAAAGAAAAATAAAAGAATAGTCAAAAGATCCTTACAATATTATCAGTGCAATTATCCGGCAGGGTAGAAGTGGAGTCTTCACAGTGTTCTGTTGGGCCATCCATTTTCTGCATATGCCCAAACTGCAAGGCTGTTATCTTAATATCTGCACACAAGAAGTTTAATAATGATGGTTGAGGTTTTTTGTTCAATGCAACTACCTGTTATCTTTTTCTCCTCTCAAGAATTTTGCTCAAGACTGGCCAAGGCAGCTAGTTCCCTTAAGTCTTTAAATTTGACCATCATTCCTTCCAAAGGAAGCACTACATCACTGTCTCAATTTACCTTGCACAGCACCCTGGAAAAAGTAAACATTAGAAAACAATTCTCAGTCTGTTACATCTAGATGAAAACTAGATGTAATAAATGGATTTTTACCAGAAAAAAACCCAGTTTTCAGATTTTATTGAGCCCATACAGGGAAGAGAGAAAAAGACCTAAGCAGAGATTTGGACAATGGAGACTGCTGTGAGGAAAGTTTAGGAAAAAGCTCAAACTGGGAATAGATAAAATTATGAAGATAATTCGGCAGGCAAGTGTGGATATACCATTTTTAAAGACAGAACTGAAACAATAAATGTACTGAATAGACAATAAAATTGCCTTTTGCTTAATTGAATATATTTATATATTTATGTTATTAGTGAAAATCTATCTCATTGTTATGGGCTTAGCTGATTAGGTAAATAAAACCATGGCATACAAGAAATATGCAATTAGTTGTTAGCACCAGTACTATATTTATATTTAGAGCATTAAATTACATTATCTGATCTCTGTACTACGTATTTTTCATCAGAGATTGAATCACGTCTTCTGGGTAAATCACTTAACAGCATAGGAAGGAGGAATGCTGATGATATTGGAGTTAAAAGAATACCAAAAAAGCACGTTGAAGGCCCCAGAAACAAATTGTTACTGTTTAAAAAACTTACTGTTTGAATAGAACTCATTGTAAATTGGAAGACCATTGAAGTCCCCACAAAGTCCACAGGTCTGATTGGCATATTTCTCATTCAGTTCCAGCTAAAATGATGGACAGTAAGTTGTTTGATAGAAGTTAGGATAAACGTTCTAAAATATATTCAAAACCACTGAAAACACCAGCACCTGCTGCCTCTAAGTATTTTTTTCATCACATCTGTGTCATTTTATTTAGCAATCTAATTCAAACTTGTGGGATAGCATGAAGAGTTGGCTTGGACTTGATTCACAATGCAGAGTTCAAGCTGTTGATGCTATTGATGCCGACTTAAATTGTCACTGTGATATCTATATTGCTCTCAGTCTCTTTCTTTCTTTTCATTCTTTGGAAAGAAAATTAAATCCACAGCAGAAATGAAATCCTAAGAGAGTGAAATTCTGCTAGAAAATTATATTTGAAGGGGTAAGTAGTCCCTATAACAATGACAATATTTTGATGATATAATGAAAGTGATTTTTCCCCCTATTTTAAGCAGATGTCTGCTATCCGCTAGAAGTAAATCCATGTAATTTTCTTTAGGACTACCTGGATGCAAACCTATCTCTGTTAAGACAGAATTGGTCAGCAGTATGAGATGGGAAGGCAGTAGTAACCCCCTAAACAGATACGGACTGGCTTAATCAAAGATTAAGGTCTCAGAAGGTGTAGATAGGTCTAGGAGCAGTTCTTACCAGGATATTGTCATTTTTATTCCACATTAACACAATACCCATTTTGCTGGCAACTTTCACATAAATGCTGCTTTTCTCTACTGTAATTCCAGATTGGCTGTATGGCAGTTGAACTCTAGGAAAAGGCAGAAAGAATCTTCAGTATTTTCTGATCCAAATGTTTGAAAAAGAGAATAAAAAAAAAAGGCTTGTGGTATCATCTGTAGGGATTCTAAAATAACAGTTGTGTGGGAAAAAAAGCGATTAAAAAAGAAGATGGTCCAACATCATCAATTACGGATCTGAATTAGGATCCAAACTCTCAGGATTTTTCATGTAAATTTTACTTTTGAGGTAATCCTTAAGGAAAGGATTTGCTTTGAGCAACCTGGTCTAGAGGAAGCTATCCTTGCCCATGGCAGGGAGGGTTGGAACTAGGTGATCTTTAAGGTCCCTTCCAACCCAAACCATTCCATGATTCTGTGAACAGCAACTTATTCATTATTTATGTTGGTAAAATTGTCAGATTTATTGAACAACACATAATTTTTTCCCCTCATACAGACCAAAGTACTTGGCAAGTTTGAACAAAAGGTCTGTGGTCACCAAACAAGTGTTATGAATACTTACCTGTTGCCGTTGATCATGACAACATCATTTGTTAGTTCAGCAGCTATACCTTCAAGTTTCATGGTGATACGGTTGATTTTTGGAGCATTTTCCACCACTTTGCGCCTAATCTGGATGTTGAAATCCTCATAGGGAGCATTGCAATGGGATGCAAAAACATAATTGCAGAGCCCAGGGAAGGAGAATATGTATCCATCAAAGGTCTTGAAGTGGAAGTTCCCCCATGTGCTGCACACACGGCCATTGTGAGCAGGATTGGAAGCTGTGAATTAAAGCTAGCTGTAAAAAAATCTTAAAATTCACAGCCTTAACATGGTGAAAATTGACTTGTCCAAGGCTTAATTTTGTCATTGAATAGTTTTCACCTGCCCGACTTCATTTGTTATTTTCTGTTGTCCATCTATCCATTATAAAATTGTATATTCATTCTTCACTCATATGTTACTCATCGTATGCACCCCTATAAATGTTTGCAGTTATGTCCAGCTAGAGCTTCATTAGTTGTCCACATTTCAGCTAACAGTTTAATATTATGTTTCCTAACCACCCTCTTTCTCCTCTTAATACTCCATGACTTCCTTTACCAGTGCCTTACCCTATTTGTATTAGATTCCTCTGTCTACATCCCCTGAAACTTAAAACTTAATGAAAATATTTAATTTCCTTTACTTACGTCTTATTATTGGATTTGTCAGCATTGTCTGGATGATGTTCATCTTAGATAAAACTGTAGCAGAAGCTAGAAAAAAGTAAGAAACCAGCAAAAAAATAGTATAACAATTTGCACCTAAAATTGACTTAGAAAGGACTAGAAAGTTACTAAGCCAGTTTAAATGAAACAATGTTAAGCCTGTTTTACACAGGACATGGATCAAGTTAAAAGTGCATACTGAAATTCAAAGTCAGAATAGTTAAATCATAAGAAATTGCTTTCAACTGTGATCTGTATTTTCTGCCTTTTAATTTTGACCCTTTTGTGAAACTCTATATTGTGTTAGCAGGGGCAGAAATTCAGAAGTCTGCAGTGCTCAGACACACTGAACAATACAAAGGGTGAAGTTGTACTAAATTAGCCCACCACTGGTACACGAGTATAGCTGCCTTCTCATTACACCTCCTTTAAGGAGGGAATAATAACTTTAATTATCCCCTTTGCTGGCTGTTCAATACTTTACTGTTAGGGGGCTGAAAACCCCTAGAAATGACCACAAATCCATTGCACAGGATGATCGCAGGTAATTAGATGGTAAAAATTAATGAAGCTGGGTTGCCATCTTGATTTTCTAGCATCAGCTGCTGGCTTTACAGCTTGCCAAAGTGGTCTCAATTCCTTGCTTATAAGGAAACAAACATCCTGTACATATATTCCACTTAAATTTTGTATATACATGTTCATGCACATATGCATACAGCCTCTACAAACACACATCTGTTTTCTTAGTTACATCTTATTCAAATATAACCATACTGTGTGTTTAGTAATGGATATCTAATAAAGATATTGCTATTCTTATACAGAGAGAGGCTTGTTAATACACATTTATCTTTGTTTGACTTTACTGCCCATATGCTAAGGAGGTTTTTTTAGGCATTCTTATCATTTAGTACAGATGTAGCAAATAAATACAAATACACAGTATAAATGAGCGTACAGTTTTGGTTCTGCTGAAGAACCTGCATGTAGTTGGTTCCTGTTTCCTGTGGGATTTCAGTCTGGGCTCCTGTCAAGAAATTGTAAAAAGCATATTAAACACAGTGTCCTCTATCTGAACTTTTAAAGCAAAGCATTTGGATAGGATCAAAGGACCAAGATACATCTCTGTAAGGCAAAGGGGAGAGTTCTTTATCATATAGAAAAAAGCAAACAAACAAAACAGGTCCCCCCAAAAGTTAAATGTAATTGTAGAAAGAGACTTTCTGTTACAAACACACTGAATTTGAAATCCAAATAACATTTCTTGTACATCTGTGTCCTGGTTACGGCTGGGACGGAGTTAACTTTCTTCATAATAGCTTATAAGAGTCTGTTTTGGATTTGTGCTGAGAAGAAGGCTGATCACATACTGATGTTTATAGGTGCTGCCAGGACAGTCAAGGACTTTTCAGTGTCTGCAGGGGCAGGAGAAGCTGGGAGGGAGCACAGCCCCATATACTGGTTTAGGATTCGAGCTTAGGTTTAGGATTGAGACCCAAATTGGCTGATGGTCTATTCCATATCATGCACAGCATGGCCAGTATATAGATGAGGCTTTGTCCAGAAGTTTGCTTCCTCTCTCTCACAATCATCTCTCGCTCTCTTGGTTGGCTCTTGCTCTCTTGGACACTCGGCCTCTTATCTCTTTTCCAGGATTGTGGTTTCAGGACTCTCCCTGCTCCAGGATCGTTAGCCAGGAACAGGCTGAGCCTTGATCATCAGGTGGTGAGCAGTGTCACTGTGTGTCACTCGTTTGTATATTTGTATATATTACTATTATCATTATTATTTTCAGTTTTGTTGTAGTTTAGTTCTTAAATTGTTCTTATCTCAACCCACGAGCTTCTTTTCCCTTGTCCCCTTTTGTTCTCTTCCCCAGCCCCAGGAAGCGGGAGGGTGAGCAGGCGGTTGTGTGGTGTTTGGCTCCCAGCCAGGTCGAACTGTGACAATTTGCTTTCTTTGTTTCCCTTAAAAATCACTACAAGGGATCCAAATGACTGGACCACAGCTCTTATTTCACGGCTGCACTAAATCTCACTAATATGTGAAAAAAAACTAGGAAGATTTCACAAAATGTAAGAGAGTCATTTATTAAAATTGCTGTGTAGTAGCTAGGTAATAATAAGAAAAGGCACATAACTGGTTAAAAGAAACAAGAAACTTGGGGCTTGATCCAGTAATGGCTGCAGGTATTTATGTGCCACTTTCTTTAGAGCCTAAGCATAGGGTCTTTTCTTCTGGAGCAAATCTAAAGTCTCATTCAGCGATCTAGATTTGCTTTACAGCTGGATGCAATAGCACAAGGGTCCCCAGCCTGAGCAGTAACCTGGGGAAGTAACTAGAAGAGCCAGTTTTCCTGTTCTACCCCTCTTCTCACTCTGAGATGGTTCAAACTCACACCTCCACAGAGAACCTTAAGCAACATACTGTAAATCTATTTGGCCACCCCACCTGAAACTGAGACACGGTGCCAAAAACAGCAGGATAGTCACAAAGGAGGAAAAAACAAGCTGTGATTGTGTGACCACATGATTAGGACACTAAGCTGCATCAAAATTGACCTGTTCTTGTGCCCTGCTTCAGGGATTAGTTTTGTACCTCTTGTTAAATGGCTACTGGATCAACCACAAGAGCTGTCTTCCAGATGAGTTCTCCTCTCTATCATGACTTCGTAAGTTTTTAATTCCTCTCCATGCATGGCCCAGCAATACCATACCAGAGGAGGTATTGGCAGAGACTTTTGAGAGATGACAAATATTGACCTGAACACTTTCATGCCTAGAAAAGGACTGACCCTGAGCTCCTAGATTGGCACTCTAAGCTCTTATATAGCTTCACCATATCTAGAAGTTGCTGCAGTGTCTGCAGTTTCTTTCTCACCTAAGAGTTTAATTCTTTTCTCATTTAACTTTATGCGTGTCTACTGCTGATGTACGAAGATGTAACTTAGGACAGAGTTCAACCATTTTCCATTTCCTGGTAGTTTTTCAGTAGCACAGATAATATCATTAGGTAAATGCTTTCATGTAATTATAATTTATACTAATCAGGTGAGAAAAATTGATACTGATCAGGTGCCTCTGCAAGTCTTAATAATAGTCCGGAATTTGCTCTCACTCAGCATATCTATAGGAATCTCAGCAGGTATAGATTCAGACAATGTGTGTTTATTCTAGCATGAGAAACTTTTTAACAGAGCAAAAGAGTATATACATGTATTTTGGTCTGTTAATTTTTCTCAAGGAAACAGCAGGGGGTTTTGTTTACTTAGCAAATACATAATTCCCAAGGAAATTCTAGCTGCATTGGTTTATTTAGCAATTGCACAACACCATGTTGTTGACTACTAGAATAATAAGTGTGTCTCAGTTGTAAGAATAGTCAAGATAAATATTTGATAATTTGGGAACTGACCTAATTATTAAGAATATTTCTGGAGGTACCTTGCTAAGTCTATATCCAGCTGTCAATCCACATATGCAATTATCGTTACAATCAATTTATAAAAGGTACTATTTGATCCAAAACCTAAAGTCAGGCACAGAATGTTTGTGGAGATTGCATGGGATTGGGACAATATTCTTTAGTCGCTCAGGACATCTGAAAATATTTTCCACAGAGTGTGATTTGAATAAATGGGAGGCTGCTGAACACTGTCTAACCACTACTCATTTTTCGAAGCAATTTATCAGATTAACATTGTGTAGCAGGAATAACTTTCTTCTTCAGTTAATAGCTGGAGATGCTTTTACTGACATTGTGTGTCTGTGGCATTTTGTGCTTAAATCAACGTGCCAATATTTAGGTGTTTATTTCACAGACTATAAAGTAGCTTAAAATTATATTTGCACTTGTCAATATTTTGAAAATTATATACAAGACAAATTTACACAGGCAATCTGAAGATTTAAAAATCTGAGAGGGCTGTAATTACTGTACATGAATGGAACTGACTTTACACAGGCAATCTGAAGATTTAAAAATGTTAGCTGAGAGGGCAGTAATTACTGTACATGAATGGAACTGATTTAGCAAGCTTGTACTCAGGCAAGTAATTCCAATTTGAAGGGTAACGCATATTAATAAAAACTGCAAAGACCAGTCCTGATGGATATAATATTGACAGGAGAAAAAACATCATACAGAATGACGGAGTGCACATTTCAGATAAATGTCCCAGTCCCGGTTACACTCAATATCAGTAATTTATATAAATACTTTGCATAGGGTATTATCAGTGCACAATTAGTTACTGAAAATCATTGCCACGTGACTATTCCCTTCTAGTCTCTTTTGCAAAAGAAGTTGCAAGAAATTTTGACGAATTTGGTATCAGTTCCTGGCAGATGACAGGATACCGGAAAAGATTGACAAATGGTCTTATCTAGCAACTGGAAAATGTAGTGTTTCACATGTCATTAAAAACATAACATTCATAATCAATCCTAATACAAAACGCAACAGGAATAAAATCTGTTAAGTGATACAATAACATTAGTATAGTTGTTTAAAGTATATTACTAGATCTAAACAGAGTATTCTTTCTTTTCCCAATAAAAGAGAGAACTTCTTACCTATCTGATGGACACAGCAAACTATTAAGAGGAAAGCCAATTCCAGTATGCATATCCCCCTGCCAAACCCCATCTTGAGTGGAGTCTGGCACAAGGATATTGGGTCTAAAGTTGGTCAGGAGCAGTAGTTCACCTGTGCTCTGGCAGTCTTATATAGTAGGTGACTTTGGCTTCAGTCCCAGATTGATTCGGAGAGTCTAGAAAGGTGGCGTTTGGGGGATTTTAGCAAATGAATAGGCAAACAGAGGATGCTCTTCCTTCCTCAGAAACTGGCCAATGGTATTTGCATTTTGGGAGGAGTATATGCATATACGTACGTATATTTTGTCAAGGTTCAGTCTAATAAAGAAACATAACATGATTGCAAGTAAAACACAACTCCTTCTCCAAAAAGATCAGGTCCTGGAACAAATTTGGTGTTGCTTTACAGTTATGCAGATAGCATGTAAGTAACTATTCTAAGTTTTTCAATACTGTAACTGACGCCAGTCAGCTCCTTGGCAAAACCCCCCTGCGGATTTGTGAGGTCTGAGGGCGTGTGGGGTATTTCATACGTGGGGACCCAGCATTAGGAAGTCACTCCGTGCCTCTTGGGGTAGCTAAGCTTCTTGTAAAAAGAACAGACTAATAACCTTGAAGGGTCCTGCACTATCACACGGTCACGCTGAGTGCATGCTGTGGAAACCCCTCTGTGTGGCACTGACAAGCATTAGGCATCTCTCTGAGGAACACGAAGCCAGCTTCACCTAGACTGCATCCTACATTTATTAGAGATGAGCTTAAACCTTGAAATCTGCTTCTGAATTCTCTGCATAATCTGATTTTGCCTTCTTGTAGAAAATATCAGCATTAATTTCAGACAGTCAGACAGCCTTATGCTAGCTTTGTAGGAGAAAAAATGGATTGATTATGGCCTGCAACCATGATCCCATAGTTTCAGTATCATTCCTGTGTAATTCGATTCACATCCATGGAGTTATAAGGACTGCAAATGAGAGAAACAGGCAATGAATTAGGCCTATAAGGCTTGCCAGTGACCATTTAATGTACTTTTTTTCCTGAATATTAGCTGCAGTTCTGCTG